TCACGCGTCTTTGACTGAGTCTCACCGTCAACAGTTTGACTGTCACGAATGGTCTGAAAGCAATATCTTTTAACTATGGCAATAGAAACAATTTATTACGTAACCAACGGGAAACTACTTTAATCCTGCACTCGTAAACATTAATATAAAAGAAATATCAATTCTTACAGCTCTATCAACCAATACTTAATGAACTTAATTATTAAGACAACTACTATTTTATGCTGACGTTATAACTGAACTAATTACCTCGGTTGACGAAGGAGAATCAATTATTCTAGCAGGTATCGGCAAAGGCAGCACGGTTTGAGCAGGAATGTTCGTGTCTCTCTACCTGGGAACGGAAACGTAATTTTGTACAAAGTATATAATTTTGAGAGCACAGAACTACGATTACCAAAGATATTCTTAAACCTATTTATGTAAAAACTAATGGAAAAGGAATTTACCTCGAGAACAACTTCAATCCGTATAATGGTCCTTCAAGTGAGAAGGAGATCGGGAATCTTATCGTCGTTAGCTTACTTTTACCCGGAAACCTTGGATAAAAAGTAATCAAAGAATCATGCAAATTACTCTTACGAGGATTTAAGATGGCAGAACGTTAGACAATTATGAAGGATAATTTATTTATGATAAATGGAATATTAATTATTTGGAGGAGGTATTATATGTATCTTCTGCTAATCAAGTTGCACTTACTTACTAGTCACTGTTCTTTAATGTACGGGGGAATCTATTCGATGTGACGGATCGGATCCACTGCAACCTGGTAAGAATTTACTTTTAGTGTACTGCATAGAATTTATATGCCTAGAGGGTACGTGAATAAACACTAGAAACATTGTAAATATAACTTTCACGTCAGACTCTTTTAATAAGAAACAAAATACTAATTTAAACGGCGAACAGTAATTTAAAGCAAGGAACTTACTGGAATACTTATGACTGGAAAGGTTAAAGCACCCGGGCGGAACCGGCTTACTGGACTCTGTTTACAAGCACGTTGCACTGACACAACCTAACAGACTGCCCTGACGTGAGAAAGACATCGGTCCTTCGATCGTTCTCCGCTATATCTCCCTGAATTTCCCAGAGTCTATTCTGCCGTTCCAGCCTTTTCTCAGGGAACGCAGTATTGTTCATCACGATCGAAATTGCTCCTCCTTGTTTAAACTCCCTGCTTATCATTCCTCGTCACGCTTCGTCTTGCGATAGGCTGGTCTTGTGCTCCTAATTAACCCCTCCATAAGTCCGTGGTAACTCATCAAGCGTGTCAAATGATTTGATAGTTTTCTCACAGAAAGTGTCCTTTTGTTAATTAAACGTCACAGTATATTCCATTTCTGGTATACTTCTATCGTTAACAAATTTACTATCTATCTTCTATGGAAATGGTTATTAACTATAAGCCTAAGTCATTTAACTCTTTTAAAGGAAGATTGAAATTAATATTTCGAGGTTCCTTACACCTCCCTGCTGAAATAGAGACGGCCTCGTCGATTAAACTTAAATGACTAGAAAATATATTCATTTAAAATTTTAACGCGTTTTTAAACATCCATACACCATTAAAAATCGCGTAATAAAATTTATAAATTTTTTTTTTTCAAAAAAAATTAATCAAATACTTAATAAATTTCTTCGGTTAACCTACTTAAAAGTTATTTAAAACAATTTATTTATAATAATTGTTATAATAATTGTAAAGTAGTAAAATAATAAGATTATGCCTGGCCGGCTGGAAAGATATGGGAGAACAATCTCCCATAGGCATATTGCAATGGGATATTGCAATGGGTCAGGGTAGATACAGGATTAGGGAGAACACTCCCCTTTTGTAAATACAATCCATGTTTCTTATTGACATGATACGGGATCCATTACCGAGGTTGTTCTATCATCATCATCAGACATGCTGTACTCGGCCTCCTGATCGTAGGAGGCCGTATTTAAAAATTCTGCCCATTTCCACGGTGGTTCTGCCTGTAATTAGTGTAGGGTCGCCCTCCGAAGTTGTTATTATTAGATGGATATCGCTGATTACCTGATCTACCTGCACCCTGAGGTTGGAACCTATTATTGTTATCATACCGGTTTTGTGGCCGATAATTAGTCTGATACTGGCCTCTTGGTCTATAATTTTGCTGTTCAGATCCCTGTAAGGCAGGCATTTGTTGGTTTCTATCAGAATTGTAACGAGGTGCACGATCATTGTTCCAGGCATTATTTCTATTGTCAGGCCGATTAATGAAAGACCTGTTATCCTGCCGGTAGTTTTACTCCTGTAATTGTCACGATAGAAATTGTTCTGATTTCTATTGTAAGACTGGAAATTGCCTGGATACCTCTGTCCTCTATAATAACCGGGGTTTCTATTACCTTGGTTATTATTTTGATAACCTGGTAATCCTACACTGCGTCTCGAACCCTGATATTGGTAAGTCTGATAGTCGTTACCTTGATGATCCTGCAACTGTTGATTATTTTGACCTGGTGCAGTAACTGGAGTTTGAGAGGTGTTAGCAGAAGGCTTAGTATTGAGTACATTATTGGCCATCAAGTCAACAAGCTGTCCTAATTGGTCCGACATTTTCTGTAGCTCATTCGGGCCAGACTCGTCAGCATTAAGTGCTGCATTAACTTGATCAGGTTGACGGGCAGAGGCATTCTTGCAGGTTACCAGCATGGCAGCATGCTCTAATAGCTGCTCATTATTCATGTTAGCCTGTTCACGCAATCGAGCCGAAATTCCCGCGTCTTGCATGTTATTAATAAACGCGTCTCGCAGGGCCAGGTCCCGGAAATCCTCATTATTGGCATAAGCTTTCTTAGCAATATTATATAAACGAACATAGTACGCTCTAACATTTTCATTGCGGGTTCTCAATGTCTTTCGTAATTTGGCCTTATACGATTCTCTATTTTCATTCGTTCCTACCAGCTCCCTTCTCAAGATTGCTATCAACTGTTCATACGGCAAGTTGGGAACAAGGAACCTCTCTACAGCCATCATTACCTCATCCCCCATGCAGTTTATCAATATATGAGGTATTTCATCGGGTCTCGCTCCTATCGAGTTTACATAGCTCTGGAAACGACGAAGGTAAAGGTCTAAATCATTCTCGTGACGCAACTGTGGAGGTGCTCTTAGAAACTGTACTGGTGCTTGCTGTGCTAAAAGAGCTCTCGGTGGCACTGGTGGTGCCACTCCAGCATCCACGATCGGAATATCTTCATCTTGCTCTGCCAACTGTGGGTCTCGAACAACATCGGCCATGGTGGAAACTAAATGATATTTCTCTAATTATTGAAAGAACTAATTTCATGTACTTTGTCATCAACTTGAACTAAAGTGAGCTTGAACTGTTAAATTTGGATTGTCTTCTAGTCCTACTTTCAATGAGGGACACGATTAATTCTCTGTGCGCTTTATACAAATTGTAATAATTTTATACTGCAGTAAAAGTTATGGCCCCTTCATGCAACAATATTTCTTTTTGAAAAAAAATTACTTGTAAAAATAGTTTATCTCTACTACGAAAAGCTAAAGTGAACTTTGTAGGTGTACTTAATTCTATTTTCAAAAATAAAAACTGTAGTGTGGTTGATCCCCCCTTAGTTTTCTTTTAAAGTGCGATAAATAGTTCGATCGCACATACCGGTATTGGAAAGATGGCCAGAATGGCCTGTTTAAATGCCGAGGGTAATGTGCTTCCAAATGTTCTCCCACGGCTCTCATGGCCTTGATCTCGAATTTCAACCTCATTTTCTCCTCAAAAGTTAGCTCCTCATAAACACCCGTCCTTATTTTCAAAGTTTTATGGTACATGTACGCTGACAGCCTCCCCAGCGACATTCTCACAGCCTTCCGTTTTAACGTTAATGTCAATACCGGCCAAAAGTCCTCACTAAATACCAATCCCCTCAATTTCTCCTCTTTTAACAATTCTGCCACCTTCCCCAAATACCGGTACTCTACCCCATTTTGCGACCTGTCTAAACACCCAACAAAAAACCGCCCGTTTCCACACCTTACTGGTCTTTCTCAGCTCAGAACAGTCTTCTATCAACGCGGCGATCATTGTGAAAACATTTAGGTAGCGGGCTTGATTCCATCTAGGTTCTGGTACGTCATCTGTAAAGGACTTATATAATATATAACTACTTATTAGGACACCTATTATAAGACAGACCAAGGAACTAAATAAATTTTCATAGGTACATCTTTCTTTCTAATGGTACTGTTGTATAATTCACTGTAAATATTTGCTATTTTAATGCTAATGTGTTTAACTTATTCAGTTATTCTACTTATCCGAATTACCATCATACTAATTCCTCATCATTCACTTTAAATTCCTGAATTCTTCAAATTCTCCCGTGAAATTTAATGAATACTCCTTTAATAAAAGTTTATTCTTACTTATTCAAAACTTACCCTTAACATTAGTCTGAATTACACAAGTTAACTTAATTACAAACCGCCCCTCGGCTTTATGCTAGACAATGGTTATCCATCTCACTATTCACTGACACATGGCCCCCTTATCCTTATAAAATTGACTTCAATTATCTGCCGGCAGATGATATTCCTTATCAAGTTAACTTCTTTAAATATCGATTAATTTCTCGCGTACGATATTTTGACGCTTACAAAAGTAACGTTTGTTATCCTCATTATCCATAACTATCTCTTAACTGTCCTAGTTATAATCAATCAATGTATCCAAAATTAACTTACAATACACAAACAAACCACTGTACACTTTCTTATTTAAATTACTTTACTACTCACATCCTGCGAAACCCCTGTTCATTTTAGTCCTCGGTCTGAATAAAAATAAAAATGGTTAGAATAAATTGAGTCTGACGTCGCTTTTCTCCTATTTCTCCTAATGAACTGGATTAAATTAGCAACAAACCTATAATTAATTGCAAATTAAATAACTGGAACGTCGGAGCTAAATTATAAAATGACAAAAACTGATTTAAGAAATAAATCTGTATCAACCCACTTTCTGATTTTTTAAATTTTGGCAAAAATTTTAAGAGCCCAACGCATTGCTGCTCCAATGTTATTAACCACGGTACCAATTTAATCAGGTGTTAGTTGCAAGTACCGGGTAATAATCACCTCTCCCATGTCCATGGTATGTAGTACTTTATTTCCTCCAAGAAATTATTTATTTAGAGCTCCTTTTGACTTGGCTAGAACTATACATGGGAGGCCCCGGTTATATCAAGAGAGTCCGTTTCGGAAGGTTCTGAACCCAAGATTGAGCGTCTTAAAACTTTTGTTTTATGGAAATTATAGTTTTGCTAGAATTCAGAGTTTCATGTTACTTCTTATTTAATTTAGTGCGGTTAATGATTATAATTCAGACTTTCAATTTTGGTGGGTTGACACAAATTGAAACGACAATATAGAACAAAATATAGAACAACTAATGGTAGTATAATTAATGAGCGAAAACCTTCTTAAATTGAAAGATGTTTATATAACAATGGAAGTAACCTTTTGATACTATACTAATTAATTGACACGGTAGAAATTCTTCTCATAACCTATTTAAAGGAACTCTAAGTCTATGTTGGTGCAATCACCTTTTGATAAGTCTCTCTCTGAGAAATAGTGTAGGAGGGCTGGAATATCACGCGTCTTTGACTGAGTCTCACCGTCAACAGTTTGACTGTCACGAATGGTCTGAAAGCAATATCTTTTAACTATGGCAATAGAAACAATTTATTACATAACCAACGGGAAACTACTTTAATCCTGCACTCGTAAACATTAATATAAAAGAAATATCAATTCTTACAGCTCTATCAACCAATACTTAATGAACTTAATTATTAAGACAACTACTATTTTATGCTGACGTTATAACTGAACTAATTACCTCGGTTGACGAAGGAGAATCAATTATTCTAGCAGGTATCGGCAAAGGCAGCACGGTTTGAGCAGGAATGTTCGTGTCTCTCTACCTGGGAACGGAAACGTAATTTTGTACAAAGTATATAATTTTGAGAGCACAGAACTACGATTACCAAAGATATTCTTAAACCTATTTATGTAAAAACTAATGGAAAAGGAATTTACCTCGAGAACAACTTCAATCCGTATAATGGTCCTTCAAGTGAGAAGGAGATCGGGAATCTTATCGTCGTTAGCTTACTTTTACCCGGAAACCTTGGATAAAAAGTAATCAAAGAATCATGCAAATTACTCTAACGAGGATTTAAGATGGCAGAACGTTAGACAATTATGAAGGATAATTTATTTATGATAAATGGAATATTAATTATTTGGAGGAGGTATTATATGTATCTTCTGCTAATCAAGTTGCACTTACTTACTAGTCACTGTTCTTTAATGTATGGGGAATCTATTCGATGTGACGGATCGGATCCACTGCAACCTGGTAAGAATTTACTTTTAGTGTACTGCATAGAATTTATATGCCTAGAGGGTACGTGAATAAACACTAGAAACATTGTAAATATAACTTTCACGTCAGACTCTTTTAATAAGAAACAAAATACTAATTTAAACGGCGAACAGTAATTTAAAGCAAGGAACTTACTGGAATACTTATGACTGGAAAGGTTAAAGCACCCGGGCGGAACCGGCTTACTGGACTCTGTTTACAAGCACGTTGCACTGACACAACCTAACAGACTGCCCTGACGTGAGAAAGACATCGGTCCTTCGATCGTTCTCCGCTATATCTCCCTGAATTTCCCAGAGTCTATTCTGCCGTTCCAGCCTTTTCTCAGGGAACGCAGTATTGTTCATCACGATCGAAATTGCTCCTCCTTGTTTAAACTCCCTGCTTATCATTCCTCGTCACGCTTCGTCTTGCGATAGGCTGGTCTTGTGCTCCTAATTAACCCCTCCATAAGTCCGTGGTAACTCATCAAGCGTGTCAAATGATTTGATAGTTTTCTCACAGAAAGTGTCCTTTTGTTAATTAAACGTCACAGTATATTCCATTTCTGGTATACTTCTATCGTTAACAAATTTACTATCTATCTTCTATGGAAATGGTTATTAACTATAAGCCTAAGTCATTTAACTCTTTTAAAGGAAGATTGAAATTAATATTTCGAGGTTCCTTACACTCTTTTGATTGTTCCGTGAACATTTTTAAATGCTGATTCTAATTTGAATGGTAGGCATTTAAAGTTTAGTTAAGTTGAACAAAATTGTACTTCAAATATTTAAATTATCTTCACACTTATAACTTACTTTAAAACCAAAACTAACTTGAATCATAAAACATAAACAGCCCAAATATCGTTTAAAAATCCTTTCACGTGCGCGCTTCTGACAAAAATCATTATAGTTCTAGGTATATTGCAATTACAGGATTGTGCTAAGCAGCTCATATTAGTCAGACTCAACTTTTGCGTACTTTCCCGAAATCACAGCATTCGAAATCAACCTTAGCCTTAACCTGATCAACACTCCTAAACCCTAAAAGGTCATGGAGTGCTTGTTGGATGTTGTGTGTTGACGGATGTCACTCGTCTTGCTCTATACTCTATACTAACCAGAGCCCTCTCGCTTGCAGTAGCGTTGTGAAACAAGTGCGTCACGCAGTACGCGTAGACACATGGCTATGTCATATGTGAATTACTCGTCTAAATTTCTTCGAAGTAGCGCGCGCCGGGCCAAACCATTAACAACGGTCAAATGTGAATTTGTTATATATTATTGCAAACGGTTTTTATTTTTACCTCAGTTTTTAAAATTTGTACAATTTTTAAAAAATTTTTATATAGGGTCATTGCTATATATATATATATGTGTATATTGTTTGAATAATTTCTTTTTTGAAATCAACTCTTTCAACAAAAATTATTTCTTTCAATCTAAAATTATAAATACGAAAGGTTTTGTGTCATTTTATTAAGCTAAAGCATTTTTGCCATTGAGTGCTTTACAGCGGAATTGTTTATTTACATTTTTAGACAACTTTCTCAAAATCGGAGAGAAAAATATTATTTTTGCTTTGATGTTGAATTTCGTATCACAGGATTGGAAAAATGCACAATTGAAAAGTGTTACACAGAACAGTTAAATTTTCAATACTCTGGTATCTTTTCGCTGCAAAGTGTCTCCAGACAGTAGCTGAACAAGCAAGGTGGTGTCTTACCTGGGGACCCCAGGCTATTATATTTATGTTTATAATCAATTTATAGATATATATATAAAATATTGGTAACATTAATGAATTGTAATTGATTGATATGTAATATTTAGGCCTGTGGCCAGTTTTCACACATTTATAGAGATTTGGCGGAATGACAGGCTGAGTGCCGCCCAGTAAGGTGGTGTCACTCAAGGCCGAGTGAGCTGTGGTTTATAAAAAGTTGTATCGGTCCTATTTTCCATCTTTCTGTATCCCTGGTTAATAAAATTCTTATCCATCGACCATCTCTCTTCAGACTTACTTTACTTTACTATCTCCCTGGACTCACAATCACCAGTTTTCTTCCCTTGTATTCGAAAAGTGTGTATGTAGGGTATGCTTACAGCAAGCAAGAATTCCGAGATGCTGCTCATTTCCGGTATGGTTGGAATCTCCCTAACACCCCAAGATTCTGTAATTATGGAGCCAAGAATGATCACAATCATATTCTCAACTGTAAGAGGGGGGGTATGTGAACTACTGTCATAACAACGTGAGAGACTCAGTTGCTGAATACCTTAGGCTGGTGACCAAGGATGTGAGGATTGAGTCCCTGTTAACACCTATTATAAAATCAGCCAACTTCCAACAAAAGGGCAACAATGCTGATAAGGCTAGGCTCGATATATCAGCAAGAGGAGTGTGGATCACCTGATACCTGAGGAGAAGAGCTACGAGGGATAGATGATATTTATTGCTCATGATTTACGATTGTGCTCTGCAAATTGCATCACTTGATTTAATTTATTGTATATATAATACTGTTTGACAAATTTGATCTATTTGAATATGTGGCATGCAATATCTTTAAACAAAAATGATATTAGTCCACTTCAAGGACAGGCAGGGAACCAGGGACATGGATGCTTTTGAATAGTTTTTGATGATACTGGAAATGGTTATATGCAGTCCCCTGACCAGTCAGCAAACAGGTATGCTGAGATAGGATTTGCATACCATCAAGTCATAGACACAAGTTTATTTGAAAATTTAATTAATTATCATATATATAAATCAAGCGTTACATTTCAGCCATGCAAAATTACAATGACATATTTTGATATACTAAATGATAAATGTTACTACAATATGAGTTGCTTAATGTCAGTGGACTGGTCCACACTCGAATTCCACAGACTGTATCGCAATTTTTGGAGACTGTCAAATCTTTGAAATTGAATTATTTTCTTCTAATCTATCAGTTGTTTAACAATGTTGCGAATAAGAAATCTATACAAACTCGCTCCGATTAGAATTGCACAGAACAGATCAAATTTTGTTCGGCTTGATTTTAATAAATCTACAGCTATAGGATTGCTTTCTTTTGACATGGATGATTCAAACAGAACTGACAAAGATGAAACAGATGAGAAGCCAGAAATAGTAAGCAATGTGCCATGTGTCTTTTTTTACTGTAAATAATATTAATAATATTGATTCATAAAACTATCATGCTTTATACACTGTTCTGTGCAAATATGTGGTGCATCATTTTCAGTGCACAATATTTTTCATTTGAGATGAAAATATTTAATGTTCATTGGTCATTTAATTAAAGCATTGTATCGCATAATACTGTGCAAATGAAAAACAGGAACCAGATAACACTGTTACTGATGTGGCCATGGAAACGCCAGACTCAGCAGATGAGGAAAAAGATACAACCACGGAAAAAGAAGCTCTTACAGATAACGATAACAACAGTGCTGAAGTTAAAATGGAAGGTTTGATAATTGATTATTATTATTATAAAACTTTATTCAAATAAATCATTGAAAACTTATTAGATAATTGATTGAATGTACTAATCATTTATACTCAGTGTTTAATTGTTTACACAGTTGTAGTTGTTTGTGGATACTTAATTTTCTGCTTTGCTATTTATTGAGATTTGAGCCACAACCTTACATGCTATTTAGTCTGGCTTTGGACTGATTAACCAGGTTAAAATAAACTCAATGAATGTGTTTATTTGTTGTTGTAAAATTAGTTGTAATGCGCGTCAGTGGTTTGAATCTGCAGATCTAATGTAGCCCCTCTATTATATCAATTATTTTACATCAACTACAAATATCACCTTTTACATTTCTTGTTTTTCAGCTCCAGAGCCATCTGTTGCCACAGTGCAGGAACGTCTTATGATCAGTAAGATTGTTAACCACAACTTCAAATCCTACGCTGGAACTCAAGAACTAGGACCATTTCACAAGGTCAGATTCTTTAAAAGCCTCATAATTTATTGGCTGTTAAGTGTTAAAATCATTATATTAGTGTTATATTAGTATTATATGTTATGTGGCACTGTGAATACCAGTTCGTTTATGGCACAGAAATTGTAAAAGAAGTTCAGGCTTTATCTTTTAGATAAGGTCCCCTTGCTCTCACAAAGTAGAGCCTAAGTTGCTATGTCTTTCATTGAACCCTTGTATACAGTCGGACCTAACCAGTAACCAGTAACCATGCTCCCTCAGAATTTCTCCTGTATAATTGGACCTAACGGAAGTGGGAAGAGTAACGTAATAGACAGTATGCTCTTTGTGTTTGGATATCGAAGTGCTAAAATCCGGAGCAAGAAGTTGAGTGTCCTGATCCACAACAGCGAACAACATCCAAATTGTACGAGCTGTACTGTTGAGGTTCACTTCCAGATGATACGGGATATTGTGAGTTATATATGATGATCCACGGTTTTAGTGGTGGTACCACATGCTTTGAATTTAACAATAAAAGACTTAAATGCCGTTGAGTATGGCCCAGGTTTAAATACATATCTTGAAATATAACCCTCTCTCTCTAACTCACCCCTCAACCTGCAGAATGATAATGAGTTTGAAGTAGTGCCAGGCTCTGAGTTCTACGTATCACGTACAGCTACAAAGAACAACACATCAACATACAATATAAATGGCAAATCGTCCACAGTTAAAGAAGTTGCCACCCTTCTCCGAGCCTCTGGTATTGATCTCGACCACAACAGATTCCTTATACTACAGGTTAATAGTACTATGCTTACAGGTATTTACAGCTATTATTATATTACAGGTTCTTTCTTTGTTAACTGACTTAGTTATCACTGGACAAACATTTTGTTAAATTTTTTATATTTCGGTTCAGGAAATGTTATAATTTTGACCATTTTAAAATGTTCATCATCAATTAACTGACTAATTGGTCTCTGGGCGAAAATTTCATCCAATCTGTCAAACTTGTGTTCAGAAAATTTCATATTTGAAAATGGGACAGACTTTTGAAAATACAACTTTTCGTTTTGTTAAGCTTTCTGCTGTGGGCTTCCGCCGACCGAAATCAAACTTCCAGCACCTCAATCGTGTCACATGCCATCTATAGTTGACTTAATAATTGGTTATAGGTGAAAAAATCAGTCAAAACTATAAAATTTCGGTCCTGGAAATTTCATCTTCAAAAACTGAAAATGGGGCAGAGATTGGGACAATATGATTTTGAAATTTTATTCGGGATTTTGACTCCCAGTACCTCAATTTGGTTTCATACCATCATTAATTAACTGACTAATTGGTTTCTGGGCAAAAATTTCATCCAATCTGTCAAACTTGTGTTCAGAAAATTTCATATTTGAAAATGGGACAGACTTTTGAAAATACAACTTTTCGTTTTGTTAAGCTTTCTGCTGTGGGCTTCCGCCGACCGAAATCAAACTTCCAGCACCTCAGTCGTGTCACATGCCATCTATAGTTGACTTACTAATTGTTTATGGGTGAAAAAATCAGTCAAAACTATAAAATTTCGGTCCTGGAAATTTCATCTTCAAAAACTGAAAATGGGACAGAGATTGGGACAATATGATTTTGAAATTTTATTCGGGATTTTGACTCCCAGTACCTCAATTTGGTTTCATACCATCATCAATTATCTGACTCATTGGTTTCTTTGCAAAAATTTCATCCAATCTGTCAAACTTGTGTTCAGAAAATTTCATATTTGAAAATGGGACAGACTTTTGAAAATACAACTTTTCGTTTTGTTAAGCTTTCTGCTGTGGGCTTCCTCCGACCGAAATCAAACTTCCAGCACCTCAAACGACAATATGATTTTGAAATTGTATTCGGGATTTTGACTCCCAGTACCTCAATTTGGTTTCATACCATCATTAATTAACTGACTAATTGGTTTCTGGGCAAAAACTTCATCCAATCTGTCAAACTTGTGTTCAGAAAATTTCAGTCAAAACTATAAAAATCAGTTAAATTTTCGAAACTATAAAATTACGTCCAAAATATGCAGTTTTTGACCGGGAAATATTATATTTGAAAATTTCCCTACATTTTGGTGATTTTCCATTTAAAAAGCTTTCTCTGGGATTCTGACTTATTTTTTAATTTTTTAATTTTTTAAAATTTAAAGAAAATATGCAACCTACTAAAACCAATGGGGCCCGCCCCGGGGTCATTCCTCTCGTATTTGCGAGAGTGGTCCCGAAGGTGGAAAAAGAGGTCAGGGTTTGTTCCCACCAATCTCTAACATCGCTATTTGTTGATCATCGGCCTTCACTGAAGGTAAGGCCCCCGTCCACATGGGCCATGTTGGTTTTGGCAGATACTGTGGTAATAAGATATGATTTGAATGAGTGAAATGAAGTGAGTGAAAAGGGTGTAAGAGAGGAGGAGCATGTAAGGAATTTAGGAAAGGAAAGGAAGACTTTTAATACCCTAATCGTATCTTGTGCTATCCACAGTTTACACGCTAATTGGTCACAGTAGGACAGAAATTATGTCAAAACTGTGAAATTTTGGTTCTGTAAAGGTTCCATATGAAAATATACTATTATTGTTTGTGTTACGTGGTATTATATTTCTCTCGTTTATCAAGCCATCCATTAACCAGGGGGAAGTGGAGCAGATCTCTTTGATGAAGCCGAAAGCGCCAAATGAGCACGAGGACGGAATGTTGGAATACATGGAAGATATAATCGGTACAAGTGTGTACAAACAACCGATTGAGGAGCTCACACTGAAGGTGGAGGAACTGAATGATGTTAGGGGCGAGAAGGTGAGGCAATATTTGATGCTTCCTTGGTAAATTGTCTTAAATTTAGCATCGCGGGAATAAAGTCAATACCAGAATGCAAGAGGTGTTCTAGCAAAATTGTAAACGAAATTGTAAAAATGTCGCTTTATGTCGCGCGAGGTTTATTTCTCAGAATTGTAAAAATGTCGCTATTATTTGGATCCATAAATAAAGAAAAGTTACGTTCGTGCGCGTATTTTTGTCAAGCATAGATTGTTACATATTGTAAAACTGATAAGCCTCTCGTAGCTCGGCGGTTAACGGCGCGGTTGACCGATCACCTGTCCTCCGGTTCAAGCCTCGCCAGCAGTCATTTTTTTGGCAATTATTAATTACTTTACTACAATTATCAGCAGAGCACCTTTGTAATACACTTTATCAGATAAATTATACTGTTCGGACTTCAGCTAGAGAAGACTGGCTTTCAAGGATTTGTCCGGGGAAGGCCTCGTTCGCACTGGAACATGTCAAATGGTAAACGGAGTTATCTGGTAATGTTTGTTTTGTTTATGGCTAGAATTTAGAATGGAATCAATGTGACGAGGAAACCGTTGGCCTACTGTTTTGAAGAGAACAAGTGCACTACTGATCTCAGGAGAAGGAAACCGTTGGTCTACTGTTTTGAAGAGAACTAGTGCGTTACTGTTCTCAGGAGAAGGAAACCGTTGGTCTACTGTTTTGAAGAGAACTGATAGAACACTACTGTTCTCAAGAGAGGGAAACCGGTGGTCTACTGTTTTGAAGAGAACTGGTACACTACTGTTCCTAGGAGAAGAAAACCGTTGGTCTACTGTTTTGAAGAGAACTGGTGCACTTCTATTCAGAAAACTGATGCTCTAATATTTTCAAAATTGAAAGGAAGTGGTACTTTACCAAGATTACTGGTAAACAGTGATAAAATTTGACAATTAGTTTTTGTGAAATTTGGAAAACATTTTGGCTTTGGCCATCAGCAGAAAAATTATCGGTTTTATCGGTTTTATCTAGATAAAACCTAAATCTTTATCTGTTTATCTAGATAAAAGATTTCATACTGATAATGGATAGCCTAATATCTACTCATTTAACGGTGAATTGTGTACTTTTGCCGTGTGACAAACAATAAAAACAATATCGTTTCAAGAGTAAAAATAGAGTAAATATTAAAATAGTCTGCTTTAAAACATATTCATAATAAAATCAGGATAAATCAGTTATGTCTTCACCCTCAAGCTCGGCGAGAAGACCACCTGAAAAAGGTACATCTGCATTTGCTGCATGGCCAACATCCCTATTCTCGCTTGATGTAGCTCTTCTGCCTGCTCCTGGAACGCCTCAGATAGTCTTCCGTTGTTGTCCCTTTATAGCTCTTCTGTTAGGTTTCAGGCAACAGATATAGGCAGTATAGCATATTATCTATGTAAACTCGCGCACGCACCTACCTTTTTGCAATATTTAGAATCAAATTTGTCCGCATAATCATAGTTTTGAAAAGCGACATTTTTACAGTTTTGAGAAGAAAACATCTACTGGAATGCAAAATTTTGGCCGCCGCTACTGTAAGCCGCGCTGACATTTTATTGTACAGCATGTCGCCGTTAGCACTCACAAAAGTTTCGCGCCAAATCAAAATAGCTTAAATTTATCTAAAAATGTTTTTATTTTTGCTGACATGAAGGTGAATAGTATATAGGATGTTTTTGTCACTTCACTGTCAGCTATTACATTGTAATTTCTGCTCCGGATATCCAGCTTGGTTGGTATTTCAGATCAAGATTTTGGGAAAATACCCACTTTGATTCGGTGTAAGAACTTGCTTAACCTTTTAAACCATTTTTTCAGCTCAATCGTGTGAAAACAGCAGAAAAAGAAAAGGAAAGCCTGGAAGGACCTAAGAACGAAGCCTGTGAATTTATCAGACAAGACAATGAGCTCACCCTCAAGAAATACACCCTCTCTCAGACCTTCATGTAAATTATACTTACACTCTACAGACTTAGTTTAGTGTAGAATCACAGAATGTAGCTGCTATTTTAGTTTATTATCTCAATTCATGAACACTGTTGCTACAGCATCGCTGTATTGACGTTTTGTGACTTATAATTCTTACAAAACAGCCACGAGTGCACTAAACTAATCGAGAAAGCTCAAGAGAAGAAGACAGAACAAGAAAATATCCTGAACGAAGTTAATAAAGAAGCTAAGGAAGTGTTTGGTTCGTTCCCTTTATATTCCCTCTATGTTGTTCTCTTTAAAGTTTAAATGTTGTCGTTTCTTAAATCATAGATCTTTATCTTGGCAAAAGATTTACTATTTACTTATATAGCTCAAAGTTTAAACGAATTTTATCTTACTAGACAAGAAAACAGAACTAGAAAATGGAATGGTGTCCGAGAAAAAGTTGCTTGCAAAAGTTGTGAGAGCCTCCGAGAAAGCGAAAAAGGAATTTGAGGAGTTTGAAAAACGTGATCTAAAAGTTAGGGAAGATTTAAAGCACAACAAGGCGAAAATAAAGAAGTTGACTTCAAAAGTTGGAGGTGAAAAGAAAAAGGTAAGCATCTAACAGGGACCTAATTATCATTAAAATATCATTAAATTATTAAATAATCAATGTTAACTGATTTATCAAAGATCATTAGAATTACAATTTGCTTAAAACTGAACTTTAACAATTGTCTCCACAGTTGGAGGAACTAGTAGACCTGCCTACTAAGAGTACTGACGAGCTGGAGCAACTTAGCGATAGACTACGTTGTCTTGATGAGGACAAAGTCAGGTATGTCAGCATCTTCATTTTGAATGATACTGGCTTTATCAATATAGGAATGTGTCATGTGAATATTGTGTGTCATGTGAATATTGTACTCAATATGTACTGAATATTAATTCCACCTGTATTCTGCTATATATATCGTCCTCTAATCGCCCTCCCTAATTTAGAAAAGAAGCTGAGTTGGAGGCCCTGAAACAGGAGATCCAGCCGCAGATCAAGAAGATAAATGAGCAGAGAGAGGTTATCTCTGGTGAACTGATGGAGATAAAGAAAGTCGTCAACCAGTGGCAGTCCAAGGTTGGTTACGGATTAAGAATTTTAAGAAAATCCTCCAGCTGGCTTCATATTTGCCCTGAGGAGATTTTATGTCATTTGGTTGTTGGAGAATGAAAGTTGTTCTGTGTCCTGAATCGTTCTAACCTGGCAGGTAAACATAAGCCAATCGGAGATGGATCTGCTGACCCAGGAGAAAACGAAGAAAGAACAGCAGCTGGAGGAGGCGAGACAAAACATGGAGCGAGTCACTAAATCCTACAAGGGTTTGTTAATGTCGGGGAGGGAGTTGGGGGGGGGGGGGGGGGTTAACTCTCAACAATTAGGGCAGTGTTGTTGGTTAATCTGGATCTAACAATAGTTTTGTGAACACAACTCCGTATTCAGAGGAGACGGGTAAAGCTAAGGAGCTCCTGAAGACAGTTCCTCAGAACGAGAAGAGGGTTAACGAGCAACAAAACCAGCTAGATGAGCTGATCAAGGAGGAGAAGACGCTCTCTACCAGACTCGCTGATAACAAAACTAAGTTTAGTGAGGCTAAGTCTGCACTCAATGCTGCTTCTACCAGGTTAGCATATTGTTTTTTTGGAGCAGAAATTTAGGTTATAGTTTTCTGTGCCTTTTATTTGGAGTCAGAACACAACAATTTTTGGATTGTTATTCACACATAAAATATTTACTTTAACATTGAATATAAAGCTATCCTACTATTGGCTGAAATAACATAAACAAATACATAACCTATAATTAGTAACGACCGGCGACCTAATGATTGGATTTGAAATATAACGATCGACAAACGATGTTTTATAAAAATGTAAACACTCGTCACCCCAGGAGTAGACTCCTAGAAGGGTTGCTGCGAGAGAAAACAGCTGGCAGATTGCCAGGACTGTGTGGTCGTCTGGGAGACCTGGGGACTATAGGAGACAAGTACGACGTGGCCGTTTCTACAGCTTGTGGTGCTCTCAACAATATTGTGTGTGACAACATGGACACAGCCCAGGTTTGTGGCAGAGCAGTTGGACAGCTAAATGGCTGTAGACTGTAGAGGTCTCCAATAGAGTTCTCTAATAGAGTTCTCTAATAGAGGTCTCTAATAGAGGTCTCTAATAGAGGTCTCTAATACAGTTCTCTAATAGAGGTCTCTAATAGAGGTCTCTAATAGAGGTCTCTAATAGAGGTATCTAATAGAGGTCTCTAATAGAGGTCTCTAATAGAGTTCTCTAATAGAGTTCTCTAATAGAGGTCTCTAATAGAGGTCTCTAATAGAGGTCTGTAATAGAGGTCTCTAATAGAGTTCTCTAATAGAGGTCTCTAACAGAGGTCTCTAGAGTAGTGATTATCATCTAGCACATTTTTGAAAGATCTGTAAAATAAATAGCTTTAGAAGTGCAATATGATTCATGTTCATGGTATCGTTTATTAATCCAAGGAGAGAAGTGCTCAATCGAAATTGTAGATGTCAAATCCTTTCCCAGCCATCCTTTCTTTGAAAAGTCTATTAAATAGGAAATGTTGTCGTTCATTGAAAGCTGTTTTGCTGGACCCAGTTTTCCCCTCTCTCATCAGACTTGTTACTGGTTTCTTCGAGGTCTTCTCCAACATCTGTAATGTACTTTCTGTTACTCATGATCTCTTTAAAACGTCCACGTACGCGTGATCGTATAGCATAAGGCGTCATAAGGATTATCACATTTCAAAGTATCTGTCTATCCTTTGCGATCTTATTTATAAAGTCTTCATTTTTCAGTATTTGCATATTAACCTGTTTCATGTTTGAGAACTTGATCTTCTCCTTAATGTCCTCCACCTCCTCTTTAGTGGTAGTGTACCCCAGGAAGCCTGCTATGTTCTCTATTACCGTCTCCGGCTCTTGTAAGATGTCTGAACATTTGTTCGTGTGATCCTCGCAATGTTTGTGTTTGTCAATCGATTATTAAGGCAAGAAAATATACATATCTTAGTACGGATTTATTCGATGAATAGTCTTATACAACCAATATAGCAAATGTAGTAATATTTATAGAATCACACAGGACCCTAATGAGCCGTGTAAACAGCCTAATACTAACCCTCGTAAGTAACGAAGAGGAAGTTGTCCCTGTGTCTCTGTTCCCAGTAAGGAAGCACAAAATCAAACCAGTCCCCATAGTCCACGAAACCTAATAACCACAACTCTACCCAGTCATCAAAAGTCTCGTAAACTGGCCCTGACAAATCAAACGTTTAATATATAAGCTACACATGAGAGATGTTACCAGACAGATGTAGAATGTGTCCTTTATTAAGGTAGTTTTCGTTTAATCGGTCAGTCCACAAAATAAGGGAATTAAAAAACGTCTGTACTCACCAATATCTTTATAAAACTTATTGATTGTAGAACTTATAAAACTTTTAAAACGTTATCAAAAAACTTATAAAACTTATAAAACTTATAAAACTTATAAAACTTATAAAACTTATAAAACTTATAAAACTTATAAAACTTATAAAACTTATAAAACTTATAAAACTTATAAAACTTATAAAACTTATAAAACTTATAAAACTTATAAAACTTATAAAACTTGATTGTACCAGTTCATACCCCGAGAGTCATTGTATTTTGCGTAACTTAAAGTTGCTTTTACGCTAACTATTTCAAATAGTGTCATTTATTACATATTATTTGTACCTGTCAAAACGTCAAGACTGAGAGTGAACTTGTAGTAAGATACGCAGGCATCTTTAGGATCCCGGAGACAGAAAATGACCTTGTTCTGGATGGTTGAGTCGACACATGGTGGGACGAGGGAGAGAGGGAGGTGGGTTTTTAGGATTCGCTGTGTTGTAGCTGGAACGGAGTCCAACTTCGACTGTCAATGGAATTATTTTATTGTGATTCAAACACACTCGAATCAGTTTTTCTTGGGCAGGTCACTTTTTCGCGAAATTGGGTGATTCAGGGATACGAAAATGATTATGAATGGCAAATTGGTTCCTGCCGACCTGTTGGATAAGCTCGTAGAATGGCAGAACCATTGGGTCCTGCATGATTGTAGTCCGTCTTTCTGCTAACAGCTTCACTATGTACCCGCACAAATGTGTACCTGAGCAGGGACCTTGTGTCATTTTGTGTTTCATTTTTCAGCTTTTTATTCAAATTATTATTACCATTTAGTCCGAACATTCAGCACATCTTTATTTTAAAAAGCCCAAGTAGAAAACAAGATGAGCTTCCATTTCACCGGGTATTACTTAAACACGATATCGTGAGGGTTACAAAATTACGAATGTAAAGAACTAAACACTCTACCAGATTTGGGGTAGGTGATTACAAGGACATCATTCTCCCTCAGTCTCGATCTACGGAGATCATCAATCCGGGTCTGATTTGCGAATACCGGCAAATGGTATTTGCCTCCGTCTATCTGTTTGGTATTAATTTCAGACAGTGACGCAACCCCTTGTAAAATGTTAATCTTAGGATGAGAGTTAGACAATACTCAACTTTGATTGCGTATCCTACCTCTGCTGTATCCTACTGTATCCTACTGTATCCTACTGTATCCTACTGTATCCTACTGTATCCTACTGTATCCTACTGTATCCTACTGTATCCTATTGTATCATACTGTATCCTACCTCTGCGTGTAGAATTGGTCTGTCCAATGTGCGCTTGATGCTCTGATCGTAGCGGATACCTAGCTGCAGTTTGTAGATATTTCGTTAAATTCATGTTATTGGTTAAAAGGGGTAACCCATATTAACATAATATGAAATGATTACATTCCACTAAGAACTTTGTCATCTAGTTCAAGGATAAGATTAACAAAACCTCGACATTATCAAAAGTGAGACTGACAAATAAACAAAAAGTTAAGGTTCAAACTCACTTTAGGATAGATAACTTTGCGTCTAAATGTATCATACTGTGACAGATATTTGAACAAACGTTGCAACCAGCCGGACACTACCTTCTTCAGTAGCAATATCGGGTACAGTAGCAGCCAATACATCAGGAACAGTTATCTGAAATAGTAGCAATATCGGGTACAGTAGCAGCCAATACATCAGGAACAGTTATCTGAAATAGTAGCAATATCGGGTACAGTAGCAGCCAATACATCAGGAACAGTTATCTGAAATAGTAGCAATATCGGGTACAGTAGCAGCCAATACATCAGGAACAGTTATCTGAAATGAACGGTCCTCACCAATTCAGAGGCATTAGTCTCTAACATTGGAATACGGTTTAAAAAGTGCTTGACCACGATAAAAGTGATCGATTAAGTGATTAGTAAAAAACATTTATCCTCAGAAAGCGCTTGAGTTCATCAAGAAAAACAACTTGGGGATCGCTACTTTCATAGCCCTGGACAAGATGGAATCGTACGCAAGAAAAGCAGAAAACAAGCTCGATACTCCTCCTAACTCACACAGGTAACTCACACTGATAAAGTATCATGTTATTTAACTACGGTATCATGTTATTTAACTACGGTATCATGTTATTTAACTGCGGTATCATGTTATTTAACTGCGGTATCATGGTATTTAACTGCGGTATCATGTTATTTAACTGCGGTATCATGTTATTTAACTGCGGTATCATGTTATTTAACTGCGGTATCATGTTATTTAACTGCGGTATCATGGTATTTAACTGCGGTATCATGTTATTTAACTGCGGTATCATGTTATTTAACTGCGGTATCATGTTATTTAACTGCGGTATCATGTTATTTAACTGCGGTATCATGTTATTTAACTGCGGTATCATGTTATTTAACTGCGGTATCATGGTATTTAACTGCGGTATCATGTTATTTAACTGCGGTATCATGTTATTTAACTGCGGTATCATGTTATTTAACTGCGGTATCATGTTATTTAACTGCGGTATCATGTTATTTAACTGCGGTATCATGTTATTTAACTGCGGTATCATGTTATTTAACTGCGGTATCATGTTATTTAACTGCGGTATCATGTTATTTAACTGCGGTATCATGGTATTTAACTGCGGTATCATGTTATTTAACTGCGGTATCATGTTATTTAACTGCGGTATCATGTTATTTAACTGCGGTATCATGTTATTTAACTGCGGTATCATGTTATTTAACTGCGGTATCATGTTATTTAACTGCGGTATCATGTTATTTAACTGCGGTATCATGTTATTTAACTGCGGTATCATGGTATTTAACTGCGGTATCATGTTATTTAACTGCGGTATCATGTTATTTAACTGCGGTATCATGTTATTTAACTGCGGTATCATGGTATTTAACTGCGGTATCATGTTATTTAACTGCGGTATCATGGTATTTAACTGCGGTATCATGTTATTTAACTGCGGTATCATGTTATTTAACTGCGGTATCATGGTATTTAACTGCGGTATCATGTTATTTAACTGCGGTATCATGTTATTTAACTGCGGTATCATGTTATTTAACTGCGGTATCATGTTATTTAACTGCGGTATCATGTTATTTAACTGCGGTATCATGTTATTTAACTGCGGTATCATGGTATTTAACTGCGGTATCATGTTATTTAACTGCGGTATCATGTTATTTAACTGCGGTATCATGTTATTTAACTGCGGTATCATGTTATTTAACTGCGGTATCATGTTATTTAACTGCGGTATCATGTTATTTAACTGCGGTATCATGTTATTTAACTGCGGTATCATGTTATTTAACTGCGGTATCATGTTATTTAACTGCGGTATCATGTTATTTAACTGCGGTATCATGGTATTTAACTGCGGTATCATGTTATTTAACTGCGGTATCATGGTATTTAACTGCGGTATCATGTTATTTAACTGCGGTATCATGTTATTTAACTGCGGTATCATGGTATTTAACTGCGGTATCATGTTATTTAACTGCGGTATCATGTTATTTAACTGCGGTATCATGTTATTTAACTGCGGTATCATGTTATTTAACTGCGGTATCATGTTATTTAACTGCGGTATCATGTTATTTAACTGCGGTATCATGGTATTTAACTGCGGTATCATGTTATTTAACTGCGGTATCATGTTATTTAACTGCGGTATCATGTTATTTAACTGCGGTATCATGTTATTTAACTGCGGTATCATGTTATTTAACTGCGGTATCATGTTATTTAACTGCGGTATCATGTATTTATGCGCATTGCAAAATGGTACCGCACAATATGCGGAACATGCGGCATTAAGATGCAAACTTGATAACTTACAGTCATGGTAACAAGAAGGGTCATGGTTACAGCTGGTACAAGAAGTATACAATAACGGACACTAGCATGGTAAGCTGGTACAAGAAGTATACAATAACGGACACTAGTATACCCTAAACTGACACTTTTTATACACTAACATGCACTTTAGAGGACTCCGCACATGTTAGAGAGACGTGTCATGTGATGAGGCTGATAATAATATAACTAGTTATAACTATAACTAGTTAGCTGCACTGTTAGTGTACTGTAGCGTTAGTACTGTGTTAGTGTTAGTGGTATCAGTACCGGGTCTTGGTTTGTGCTTTAACAGTTATTAGAATATTCGCACATATATCCACACTATTTACATTACACGTACAACGTGATATCATTAGCAGTGCAGTGCAACACCAACTACACCGATCAATTGCCAATAATATAACTGTTAGTACTGTGTTAGTGGTATCAGTACCGGGTCTTTGTTTGTGCTGTTTAAATATTATCACTTTTAACTGTTGGTAGCCAGTTTGGTGGCTGGAGCTGTAATTATGCTATCAGTACAGTTTAGGTGGAGGCTCATGAGATATCAACTAGCTGGTAACTTAGTGACAACTAGATTTTAACAGTGGGACTACCCGGACTAGCCCCTAACTGTACATTCGACAACCTATGCTATAGTTTTTCTGGTGCTAAATCAAGACCATATAGTTACGTAGAGCACTTACGGGCCATATTCTGAGTTGATTTTAGATAACCGGTCCAGAGTTGGAAGTTCAACCAACCAAACTGTTCCCCAGTCCCCTTAACCTCCTAACTTCGCCCTATTAACCTCTTAACCAACCCCTCTTAACCTCTTAACCTCCCCTCTTAACCGCTGAACCTCGCCCTCTTAACCTCTTAACCTCCCCCTCTCTTCAGGTTATACGACCTGATAAAGCAGCGAGATGGTACCAGGTACAGTGGAGCGTTCTACTACGCTCTCAGAGACACCCTGGTTGCTCCCAACACTGATCTGGCTAAGAAGATTGCGTACGGCAAGACTAAGAGATGGAGGGTCGTCACTTTGGACGGGGTTATGATCGATATCTCAGGTATGGTTAAATTTGTGTTCTGAAACAGGTATTTGTCGGCTTTTGTCAACGACGTTATACAGACTTTACATAATTGTTGTGGTTGAAAAGTGACCATATGAGATACAAGAGAAACGCCATCGTAGGACACGATATAATTTTAGGATGCGATACAATTTTTAAACCTCTGTGAAGTGTAAGTGTATTATACCCTGATAATGGTTATTAGTGGTTATATTAGTGGTTATATTAGTGGTTATTAGTGGTTATGTTTGTTGTTTTATCCTGATAGGTACTATGGCTGGTGGGGGTAACTCAGTGATCAAAGGGCTTATGAGCAAGGTGACCTGTGACATTGACCCAAAAGAGGTCGACAAAATGAGTGATGAAATCAACAGTGATCAGAGGAGGGTGAGTAACTTTCTAGTTCTTAAAATTGCGAGAACATTCGTAAGACATTATTGGTTGTTCATTTCATTTAAATCTAATTTTCTCCCTATGAAGTTGAGATAACCTATTAAGTTTAACTTGAGATTACTATTATGGTCATCTCATCATCTGATTATAAGATATCTATATGGTGGCCCCTGTATACTGTATAGCACTTTTATCAAGTGTTACCTTACACTACAGCTATATGGTGGCCCCTGTATACTGTATAGCACTTTGATCAAGTGTTACCTTAATACTACAGCTATATGGTGGCCCCTGTATACTGTATAGCACTTTGATCAAGTGTTACCTTACACTACAGCTATATGGTGGCCCCTGTATACTGTATAGCACTTTGATCAAGTGTTACCTTACACTACAGCTATATGGTGGCCCCTGTATACTGTATAGCACTTTTATCAAGTGTTACCTTACACTACAGCTATATGGTGGCCCCTGTATACTGTATAGCACTTTTATCAAGTGTTACCTTATACTACAGCTATATGGTGGCCCCTGTATACTGTATAGCACTTTTATCAAGTGTTACCTTAATACTACAGCTATATGGTGGCCCCTGTATACTGTATAGCACTTTTATCAAGTGTTACCTTACACTACAGCTATATGGTGGCCCCTGTATACTGTATAGCACTTTTATCAAGTGTTACCTTACACTACAGCTATATGGTGGCCCCTGTATACTGTATAGCACTTTTATCAAGTGTTACCTTACACTACAGCTATATGGTGGCCTCTGTATACTGTATAGCACTTTTATCAAGTGTTACCTTACACTACAGCTATATGGTGGCCCCTGTATACTGTATAGCACTTTGATCAAGTGTTACCTTACACTACAGCTATATGGTGGCCCCTGTATACTGTATAGCACTTTTATCAAGTGTTACCTTACACTACAGCTATATGGTGGCCCCTGTATACTGTATAGCACTTTTATCAAGTGTTACCTTAATACTACAGCTATATGGTGGCCCCTGTATACTGTATAGCACTTTTATCAAGTGTTACCTTAATACTACAGCTATATGGTGGCCCCTGTATACTGTATAGCACTTTTATCAAGTGTTACCTTACACTACAGCTATATGGTGGCCCCTGTATACTGTATAGCACTTTTATCAAGTGTTACCTTACACTACAGCTATATGGTGGCCCCTGTATACTGTATAGCACTTTGATCAAGTGTTACCTTAATACTACAGCTATATGGTGACCCCTGTATACTGTATAGCACTTTTATCAAGTGTTACCTTATACTACAGCTATATGGTGGCCCCTGTATACTGTATAGCACTTTTATCAAGTGTTACCTTATACTACAGCTATATGGTGGCCCCTGTATACTGTATAGCACTTTTATCAAGTGTTACCTTATACTACAGCTATATGGTGGCCCCTGTATACTGTATAGCACTTTTATCAAGTGTTACCTTATACTACAGCTATATGGTGGCCCCTGTATACTGTATAGCACTTTTATCAAGTGTTACCTTACACTACAGCTATATGGTGGCCCCTGTATACTGTATAGCACTTTTATCAAGTGTTACCTTAATACTACAGCTATATGGTGGCCCCTGTATACTGTATAGCACTTTTATCAAGTGTTACCTTACACTACAGCTATATGGTGGCCCCTGTATACTGTATAGCACTTTTATCAAGTGTTACCTTACACTACAGCTATATGGTGGCCCCTGTATACTGTATAGCACTTTGATCAAGTGTTACCTTAATACTACAGCTATATGGTGGCCCCTGTATACTGTATAGCACTTTGATCAAGTGTTACCTTACACTACAACTGTATGGTGGCCCCTGTATACTGTATAGCACTTTGATCAAGTGTTACCTTACACTACAGCTATATGGTGGCCCCTGTATACTGTATAGCACTTTGATCAAGTGTTACCTTACACTACAACTATATGGTGGCCCCTGTATACTGTATAGCACTGATAAAGTGTTACCTTAATACTACAGCTATATGGTGGCCCCTGTATACTGTATAGCACTTTGATCAAGTGTTACCTTACACTACAGCTATATGGTGACCCCTGTATACTGTATAGCACTGATAAAGTGTTACCTTAATACTACAGCTATATGGTGGCCCCTGTATACTGTATAGCACTTTTATCAAGTGTTACCTTACACTACAGCTATATGGTGGCCCCTTTATACTGTATAGCACTTTTATCAAGTGTTACCTTATACTACAGCTATATGGTGGCCCCTGTATACTGTATAGCACTTTGATCAAGTGTTACCTTAATACTACAGCTATATGGTGGCCCCTGTATACTGTATAGCACTTTTATCAAGTGTTACCTTACACTACAGCTATATGGTGGCCCCTGTATACTGTATAGCACTTTTATCAAGTGTTACCTTACACTACAGCTATATGGTGGCCCCTGTATACTGTATAGCACTTTGATCAAGTGTTACCTTACACTACAGCTATATGGTGGCCCCTGTATACTGTATAGCACTTTTATCAAGTGTTACCTTAATACTACAGCTTGAAGAAATCGGACCGAACAAGACGAAGTTAGAACACGAAGTAAGGGGTCTACTCAAGACATTGTCCGCTGACAAGTTCACGAAACAAAAGAGCGAACAAGCAATCAAGGTAAATTATAGAATCATTCAATGTTAATTGAGATTTGAGACACGGTTAATCGAGGTTGACCATTATAAAAACGAAGGAATGGTCGAGAGTTGGTCTTATCATTTTATGAGCGTAGGGTTGTGGCCGGCGCTAGACTCGTTCCTGGTTTGTTCAAGTCTCGTTTTAACGATAATTTCAGGAGTTACTCATTGCACCCATCACAATAAGACGGTAATTTTACTCACGTTTCTAGATTATATAACCTAATATCTCCATTGTTTTATAAAACAATACGCGTGATGCATCTCAGTAAAATCATTGTCTTTTCGGTAGATCCTGAGTCTCACTACTCAACAAAGGATTAAACATTTCAGAGTTACATGAAGCAACAAAGTAGTCTTCAAAAAGAGATCCCTCTTTTACAAGAACAGTTAAAAGCTATTGTTCCTGACGAGAATAAGATCGATGAAATACAGAAGAAGATAAACGGGCACCAGTCGAAGTTAGATGAAGTTTCCCTGAAGGCTCAGAAAAAAGATGATTTGATCAAGAAGTGCGACAAGGATCTGAAGGATCTACATAGCAAGAAGTTAAAACCTCACCAGGATTCCGCGAAGAAGACAGACACTGAAATTGACAGTGTCCATGATCAAATGACCAAGATTAAAGTTGCTCTTAAAGGTGTGGCCTTCAAAACATTATCACTTTTTCCGGCTTTGCATTCCTTTTGGTGCCGACTTGGTGTTGAAAATGATATGTTTTTAAATCCATCGAGATAATTGAATGTGGTGCGAAAGTCTACAATCCATCCTTTGAAAATCTATTTATCTCATTTAAGTTTATCGAATGTTGTGCGAAAGTCTACAATCCGCCTTTGAAATTTATAAAACATTTGTAAGTTTATCGTAATATTAATAAAGTCTTTAAAACTTAAGACTGTTAAGTCTGCAATCCACCAATTAATATTACATTCAACTCAAATGATCTAATGTAAATAACGTAACCCTGGTCACTAGGACTAACACGAAACAAGGAGAAACTGGAGAAGTCAATATCTGAAATAGAGGCTGAGCTGTCAGAGGCTCAGACTCACACGGAGGAGCTGAAGACGGAGTTCCAGAAGATTGAGGAGCAGGCGGAGGTGGTGGTGGAGAAGGACAACATGTGTCAGGTACCAGCTATGATGTTTAATTGTTCTTAATTAGTTAATTTGGGTAATTTGGAGGTAAGGTATGGCTTATAATAACTTGATATTATTATCTTGTGAAGAATTTTGGTGATTCAAAAAGGTGTCATTTTTGCTCATTTATTCAGAATTAAAATGAGAAAGTGCTGTTTGTACAATGTACAACCAAAACAAATCGTTCGACAGACTTCTGTCACAACCAACTACAAAAGTACGTAGCATAAAGTTACCTGATCAACCCAAACCACTTAATTAAATTCCTAATTAATCAGGAGAAAATGAAGGAGCAAGATGCTAAGATGGAAGGACTAAAAGCAGAGCTTGCTGGTCTGGAGAGCAGTCTAGAAGCTCACGAACAGAAAACAGTTGATTACAGGCACGCTATTGATAAATACGATGGAGTGATTAAAGAAAACGGATCTAAAATCAGGCATTGGAAGAAAGAGGTACGTTATGACATGATATTAATATAATTTATGTGATTTGCTCCCATACTTTATCGGTGGCTTCCATTATAGGCGATTGGTAACAGTCGCTTTCAAAGCTTTTACTTGGCTATCTTCCCAGTTTTGTTCCTTATAGTCCCAGTTTTGTTCCTTATAGTCCCAGTTTTGTTCCTTATAGTCCCAGTTTTGTTCCTTATAGTCCCAGTTTTGTTCCTTATAGTCCCAGTTTTGTTCCTTATAGTCCCAGTTTTGATCCTTATAGTCCCAGTTTTGTTCCTTATAGTCCCAGTTTTGTTCCTTATAGTCCCAGTTTTGTTCCTTATAGTCCCAGGTTTGATCCTTATAGTCCCAGTTTTGTTCCTTATAGTCCCAGTTTTGTTCCTTATAGTCCCAGTTTTGATCCTTATAGTCCCAGTTTTGTTCCTTATAGTCCCAGTTTTGTTCCTTATAGTCCCAGTTTTGTTCCTTATAGTCCCAGTTTTGTTCCTTATAGTCCCAGTTTTGTTCCTTATAGTCCCAGTTTTGTTCCTTATAGTCCCAGTTTTGTTCCTTATAGTCCCAGTTTTGTTCCTTATAGTCCCAGTTTTGTTCCTTATAGTCCCAGGTTTGATCCTTATAGTCCCAGTTTTGTTCCTTATAGTCCCAGTTTTGATCCTTATAGTCCCAGTTTTGATCCTTATAGTCCCAGGTTTGATCCTTATAGTCCCAGTTTTGTTCCTTATAGTCCCAGTTTTGTTCCTTATAGTCCCAGTTTTGTTCCTTATAGTCCCAGTTTTGTTCCTTATAGTCCCAGTTTTGATCCTTATAGTCCCAGTTTTGATCCTTATAGTCCCAGGTTTGATCCTTATAGTCCCAGTTTTGTTCCTTATAGTCCCAGTTTTGATCCTTATAGTCCCAGGTTTGATCCTTATAGTCCCAGGTTTGATCCTTATAGTCCCAGGTTTGATCCTTATAGTCCCAGGTTTGATCCTTATAGTCCCAGTTTTGATCCTTATAGTCCCAGGTTTGATCCTTATAGTCCCAGGCCAGGTTTGATCCTTATAGTCCCAGGCCAGGTTTGATCCTTATAGTCCCAGGTTTGATCCTTATAGTCCCAGTTTTGATCCTTATAGTCCCAGGTTTGATCCTTATAGTCCCAGGTTTGATCCTTATAGTCCCAGGTTTGATCCTTATAGTCCCAGTTTTGTTCCTTATAGTAGTAACACTAAACAACATTCCAGATGAGCAAACACGCATTACAAAACATCCCCGGAGAACCCGACCTGGAGCCCCTGAAAACTCTTGAAGCTGTGGAGCTGGAGAATGTAGACGCTAAGGGGTTGGAGTACGAGATAGCGGTGCTGGAGGAAGCTCTGAAACAGAAACAACCAAACATGGCCGTTATCAAGGAATATCTGTTAAAAGTAAGCCACCTACTTAACTCTAGAAAATTATTTCAGTTCAGGTTATTGCTCAATATTATGTAGGCTCCACTAAGTGCTCCTTTCGATTTAAATATTTTCACATTACTTACCGATTACTCAGCAGTTCTCTGAATAGTAACGGTAACTAAATGGGGGTTAGCAAAATGGCTGCAGCTGAATAGAGAACGCTGCCAGATAATATAGCATTGTAACGCAGGTTCTTACTACGTTGATTTGTTCAATAGTATTATATCTAGAATTTAGTGCGTGGACTGTGAGGTACTCTACTGAGGAGTGTTGGGGGCCGGGGGGGTTGTAGTTGTCGTTAAAAGATGTCGTATTAGGGCTTAATCGATTGATTTCTTAAACAGAGTTTTTCTACGTATTCTCAGAAACGACTAATGCTACACAATCATGTATTCGGTTTTTAATGTTTACCAGCAACTCTCCAGCCCCCCCCCCCTCCCCACTGCGCTACTCAAATGGGCATGATCCAAGATTCGGACACTACTGTATTTGATTCATGGCAAGAAGTAGTGTTCTGTAGTATAATGTGCCTTAAATGTACTTTGTAGCCGAGAAATACTTGCTCTATAGACACACTCAATTAAATGTAATATCACCCGACAAAATCGAAGTAAAATAGTATTACCGATCAGTTAGGTTACTCAGAAGGTAGAATATGACTCTACATATCGTACCCAGTGTCTGTACCGAGAGAATCGGACTTTATTCAACAAAAACGCAGGGGGAGGGGGTCGTCGCTCACTATTTGCGTGGGAAAATGTTTACTTGGGTAGTGTCGCGTCTCGTCACGTCTCGCTTCAATTGTATACATCTTTGTTCAATCTGAATTATAGCTCGGAAACAATTATTTAAAACATATACGGGTAAACCGCCCCTAAAACGTCACCTGTTTTTTGGGCCCAGATTGCCGAGTTAGGGCTAAATTTACAGGGTTCTGAAGTGTCTAGGAATAATATTTAAACCTTTTTCTAGCCTGCCAGGAAGATTTGGAGATTTGAAAATAAAATCAGGTACAATTTATTTGACGTTGAAATGGAGTCACTTTTAAAACACCACCCCTAAAATGTCAACTCTATATGTGTGATAATTACAAAATGTACAGGAGGCCTGATTTATCTTTTGTCACTAGTACTATTTGTTTTGTCTTATTAAAACATTAAGCTACTTGAAAACATTCGCTCACTAAAGGAATTACCTCAAAACCGTAATCACCTCCTAAAATGTCACGTTAAAGGCGTGAGCTAGCCGGCTAAGCCGGCTTAGCCAGCCGATTGAAATTGCCGGCTTAGCCAGCCGATTGCCATCGGCTAGCCGATCGGCTAAGGTGTCAAGGAAGGTGTCAACTGAACAAGACTCAAACCGATAGACGGATCGTCTTAAAGACGAAATTAAAGTATATGAGGCCTTGCAGTGCCCTAAAAACTTTCTGTCCAAGATGGACACTCTTAAATTTTGGAAATGTCGTAGTGATACATTGCCCCCTCTTTCAAAATTAGCATGCGCTATATTTCCGGTTCCTGCATCCGCTGCTGATGTAGAAAGAACATGGTCAGCAGCAGGGCTGACTGTAAACAAGAGGAGATCAAAGATCTCATCAGACAATTTAAAAGCCATTATGCTCATTAATCGTAACAGAGATCTTTTGTTAAGTTTTATAAGTAAATTAGAGATTGACTCTGACCAGTGAGAATTTCCTAACTTATTATTGACTAACTTATTATTGAAGTTATGAAATTGTATCACTTGTTACCTTCCATTTCAAGTTTTGCCCTTAAAATCGACATAAAGTATAAAGAAACATAAAGTATAAGCCAATCAATTTTAATACAAAATAGTAATATTAGCAAAATAAAAATTGTTGGTACAATATCTGATATTAGGATCTGGTAATCCCATTCCCAGTTTTAGCCGGCTTAGCCGGCTAGCCAGCCGATTTTTTCTCTTAGCCAGCCGATTGCCGTCGGCTAGCCGGCTCACGGCTCTATGTCACGTGCACCACCCCTAAAACGTCAGCTAAAACAGGTTGTGTAGCACTCAGAATGTTGCTCAATTATTAATTTTAATCACTTCTGGGACAAATATAACCTATTTCTGAGAGGTGTCGACCAGAATTTCTCTCTCTGTTGAAAAAAGTGGTGGAATTTAGTCAATTTACTTTTTGTGACATTTTGGGGACTTTTTTTTGAATACCCAGAACTTACGGCAAAACAGTAATTCAGTCAACAAAATTTACACCTGTAGTTAGATTATCTAGTTATAAACTAACAATTGGCACAAAAGAAATGGATTCAATGTGATTTTAACTGCAAATTGCATGTTTTAATTGCATTTTTTGGGATTTTTAACATCATCCTGCATTTTGGCAATTTTAGTGACCTGTAGTTAACTAAGCCAACCCAGTAATCGATCTGACCTTCTCTATAGACTAGATTTGACTGCTTTTAGCAAAATTGAATGTCAAAAACTACGGTTTTTGGTACTTACTAGTTTATGGTAAACCTATGATATGCCCCCTAAAATGTCATTTTTTTCTCCCCTAAAATGTCAAATTTGTATTTTGTTCGCATGGTGTGCGATAATAGCTCTTGTTTTGGCACTTGTTAATTATTAACATCAACTATTAACGAAATGTGAGTATGCATTGCGTCTTAGGAAAAGCCTGAGTAATTTGATCAGGTTAAAATGACATTTTAGGGGGGATAATTAGACATTTTAGGGGATGTTTATTGCGATTAATAAAATAAAACTAATTCCTTGAGCTGCCAAAGCTTTCCAATATTACCATTAGATGCTAAATATGATGTTTAATAGGCTGGTACCTCCATTTTATGGTGCTTGTAGTCTCAAAGCCAGAATCTGATAAAATTACATTTTAGGGGGCGGCCAGGTGACATTTTAGGGGAGGGTAGTAATATTGAGTAATGTATAACTTTCCATATCTCCAGTCATATGTACAAAGTTGCTAAAATATGTAAATATCACTATCCTAGACCAAAACCGAGTTAATATTAATGAATTCCAGAGTTATAAAATTGTGCGCTTTTTTTCAAAAGTAAAAAATTCGTACAAAGTGAAAAAAATGCCCTTATGGCATCATTTAGATTCAATTTCAGGATGTGGCAGGGTCTGAATGATATTTTTTTATGTTTAGGAGTTACAAATGATTAGGTAAGATACTTTCTAAGAAGATGGGATCCAATCAATCAAGAGTGGCGTTTTAGGGGTGGGTGACATTTTAGGGGCGGTTTACCCGTAATAAACATATGATAAACATATAATAAACTAGAAACCCGCTAGTCGAAAGCTTTGTTCGAGGAAATTTTAAAAATCAGTTATGTTTTAATTTCTCTTCATCATACAGCTCTGTTATACAGTAGACATAATGGAATTTATTTAACAATGGCGACAGCGTTGTTAGTATTCGGATTCCCAAAACGATACTTTTTACCGCATCAAAAAATACAAATCACAACCAAAGTTATGAATATAAGTCATAGCGTGAGCGTAAATGTGAGCTAGTTTTGAAATTATGACGTAGCATACAGCATAACAACGCACGTAGTTAAGATGTTTTTGCTCGCGCACGTGCATTTTAACGTTGCTACGCAACAGCGCAGTAAACTTTTGCTAAAATAACGACATTATTCTAACGGTTATTTTACCTCACTTCCGACGTTAATTGTAAAAAATCTAAAGCCTAAATCAAAATTCTGAGAATGCTATAGCCTATTCCTATCCTTTTTCTACAACCCTGCTAAAAATGGCGAGGTTTCAACTCCATTTGCGAGCTGGGTTTGGCATCACCAGAGGGTCATTTTGAGGTCGATTTTCGGTGTTTTTTCTTCTATGTCCCCGTTGCCGGGGAAATTTCGTCAAGTTTAAATTATAGTATAGATAAAGTTGGTAGATTTGCCAATGCAGATAGTAAAAATAAAAGTTCAAATATTTCACACAACGTATTAAATGCGTCCATGAATATAGAATACATCGAGATAAGAGATAAGAGATAGGAGATAAGAGCAGTACACACACTGTACAATTGATAGTAAGTCCTAGAAAATATTCCCTGGTTCACTAAGCCCGCTCCTCAGCACGCAGCGTGGGAAGACAAGGTGGCGGAGCTGAACCAGATAACATCAGCACGTGACACTGCGCGCGACGAACACGAGCGACTCAGAAAGAAGAGACTGTCCGAATTCATGGCCGGGTTCCTGGTCATCACTAATAAGCTCAAGGAGATGTACCAGGTTAGCCGTTAGAGTGCAGCTTATCTTTTTCTCTTTTAATGATTACAACATTAATTACCTGATGCTAGGTAAATTCCAATCTGCTGGAATCTCAAACTTTTCACACAGTTTAGTTGAAACCCTGAAGTTAACAACTGAACCACCCACCAGATGATAACTTTGGGAGGAGACGCAGAGTTGGAACTGGTTGACACTCTGGACCCCTTTAGTGAGGGTATTGTATTCAGTGTCAGGCCTCCTAAGAAGTCCTGGAAAAATATCAGTAACCTGTCTGGCGGAGAGAAGACTCTCAGTTCTTTAGCTTTGGTGGGTTCAGATTACGGTTCTTGTTTAAATATTTTTCGAATCCGCATCAAGTTGCTGAATTCCGTTCATTCCTTCATTCTGACTTTTTTGTCAATTCATTCATCTTTACTGAGATGAAATGAATATTCCGTAAATATATATATAACCTATAACCCCAATAACCCAGGTATTTGCACTCCATCACTACAAGCCATCTCCACTCTATGTTATGGATGAGATTGACGCTGCGCTGGACTTCAAGAACGTCAGCATAGTTGCTCACTACATCAAGGTACAAACTATGTACTTCTTAATCGAAATAACATACGATTATCTAGTTCAATACATCTAAGTCTACAGGGTACCGGTAAAAATTTCTATTAAATTAGTTCAAAACATCGTTGGAGATACTGATTACTGGGATGTTTGACTCGAATAGTAATTTAAAAGTTGAGATTTACTTGATTTGTAATTGATTTATATTTCCCATTATATTATCTGCCCTTTTCTAACCGGCCCAATTACCCTAGGAGCGAACAAAAAACGCGCAGTTCATCATTATAAGTCTGAGGAACAACATGTTCGAACTAGGCGACCATCTAATCGGAATCTACAAGACAGAAAACGCCACCAAGAGTGTGACCATCAACCCCAACACCATTGCTGTGTAGTGTGACCTTATGTTGTCACGTGTCTTGTAGGGTTGTCACGTGTCCTGTAGGGTTGTCACGTGTCTTGTAGGGTTGTCACGTGTCCTGTAGGGTTGTCACGTGTCCTGTAGGGTTGTCACGTGTCATGTAGGGTTGTCACGTGTCCTGTAGGGTTGTCACGTGTCTTGTAGGGTTGTCACGTGTCCTGTAGGGTTGTCACGTGTCCTGTAGGGTTGTCACGTGTCATGTAGGGTTGTCACGTGTCCTGTAGGGTTGTCACGTGTCCTGTAGGGTTGTCACGTGGTTTCCTCTGTAGTTGCTCATGAACGATCTGCTTAAGTTTGGGGCGGGGGAGGGTGGCTCAAGTTCGCCCTGCTTATTATAGGGCCGCACTGAGGCCTCAAGGTCGGATTTAGGCCAGTTTCTGTGCCTGCTATTAAAAAAACAGGAGAGAAATATACCACAAACTTATATAATATAGAATATGTGTTACATTTGTATTGGGATATTATGTTTGTTTTATTTCAATGACATGTTGCAAAAATAAGTTTAAAAGCTATTTTCTGGAGTGCGACGCTAAAGCCCCTAGACTAGTACGAACATGAAATTATTCTTAAACCTTATTGGTGATCTGAGATTAGGATCGGTTTTTTGTTGTTGTTGTGATATTTTATTTCTTTTCTTTTGAGTTTGTGGAGCACTATGCTCACTTTTAAGCATATAAACTTGAATTCAAATGGCACCATAGAAATTATAAATTATTTGATACATTTTGTCAAACTAATAACCACAATTTAGTTCTACACTTAATTATAAAATTGTATTTATTTTTCAGTAGATAGAATCGAATATTAATAAGTTAATAGTCGAAATGCTATAAAAGTACAGTCTATATCTGGGAAATGATAATTACGTTATTTTTCTGGATAAAATCTTTTTTCCAAAAGTAAAACAAAATCCTAAACAGCTACGGCGAAAATTGCTTACAACGGAGCCTAAGAAGAAGCAATAAGCAATTTCGAAATCATCATGATTACAAAAAAGTTCTACTCTGAATAGACAGTTATATTTTGTGATTAGTGGCAATCTATCTGCTTCATAATTGCTGAAGCTGCTACACGTCATAGACACGTGATAGAGTTCCTCCCCCGGTGTCTCTTGTTGAGATTTAGATCTCTTGATGAGATTTAGATTCAGGTCGAGTCTCTTCAGGTTTTGGCGGGTCCAACTCATCCATCATCTCCGCAACCTTACCTTCCTTCTGTGTCATTACAACAGTGAACTCGGGCGTCATGTTAAAGCAAGTATCATCTCCGCAACCTTACCTTCCTTCTGTGTCATTACAACAGTGAACTCGGGCGTCATGTTAAAGCAAGTACTCATCCATCATCTCCGCAACCTCACCTTCCTTCTGTGTCATTACAACAGTGAACTCGGGCGTCATGTTAAAGCAAGTACTCATCCATCATCTCCGCAACCTTACCTTCCTTCTGTGTCATGACAACAGTGAACTCGGGCGTCATGTTAAAGTAAGTACTCATCCATCATCTCCGCAACCTTACCTTCCTTCTGTGTCATGACAACAGTGAACTCGGGCGTCATGTTAAAGCAAGTACTCATCCATCATCTCCGCAACCTTACCTTCCTTCTGTGTCATTACAACAGTGAACTCGGGCGTCATGTTAAAGTAAGTATCATCCTGAACTGCAGAACTGGGGGTCAGGAAGGGTTCAGCAACCATCTCCTTGTTATATTCCTTCCACAGCTCCACATACTGCCGATCCGTTTCTACTCTCAGCATTTTCAGCATGAGCGCCTTGAAGTTGTTGCTGGACACGGTGTGTCGCTGTCTACGGTTGCTGGGAGCCAGGGACCCGGCAATAGCGGCCACTATAGTGGTGATAGCTGCTAAAACGGTTGGTATGTAGACGTTTGTGAGAACGGGGAGCAGAGTGGAAATGGTTGTTAGAGCTGAGAGCACGATCAAAGTTAATGTGAAAACAGTTTTTATAGTGTCCCAATATTCTGCTTCTTTAGCGTGAGAGTCGGCTTTGGATTTCGTTGTACTGACATATGATAACCAGTTCTCGGCTATGCCCATTATTGTTGGTGCTATCTATTTCTAGAATGAAATCGTTTATTTGCAAAGAGTACCAATTAAGATTGACGTAAAACAAAGTCTTGTTCCAGAAAGAAACATTGAAGAGGAAGGTAAGTGTAAGATTTAATTGTATCAATACAGACAGTTGAAAGAGATGACAAAATATCAACTGTGTTTTTCTAGCTGCCAAACCAGCCTGTACTTTATAAAACTTTAATAGGACTCTAACAGTAATACTATCTAACATTTAACAAAGCAATTTATTTTAATCATCCACATTCCACATCAGTAAAATGCCAATAAATTTGATGTGGATTAATTTCTATATTAATCAACGTATCTATATTCTATTTAAAGTTTACATTTTAACTTTTCAAGACAACAGGCTATTATACAATTAATAATACTATCGCTGGAGTGCTTTTCACTTATAACAGAATTTAGAATTTTAACGTCAACTGGCTCTGACTACATTGCCAGCTATTCAAAGCAAATAGTACAATAACTTAATACAAAATAGTAGATATGTGGGTAGTAATATAACTTACCGGTTAACCCTCTGTTTACAGAATCATTTGTTCAACCATCAACGTCTCCCACATCGAGCCTGATGAATAGATTCTAGTCTAACAATATGTTTCAATGACAAGATGTACTGGATTAGGATATAACTATAATACAGTGTGGGCCAAAAGTCAGTACCCATACGTTGGCCTTTAATATACCTTACAAGACATATTTATTTAACGTACGAAATGTGGCGGTTTTCCGAAAATTTCGCCATATTTTCGGACCGCCAAAATTTCGGTCGTCGTAATAGAATCCGTCGCATTATCTTTTAGCTTATTTCAATGACTGTGCCTTCACTGCTTTATTTTGTTTCTAAAAAGTAATATCAAGTAAAATAAATAAATAAATTATGGCATCTTGGGACAAATTATCACCACACCAATGACGAATTGAATGTCAAGCAATACAGTTTAAATTTGCATTAAAATACATGTATGTGCTAACATGAAAGTCTTACAGTCTTAATACAGACTAAGTTTGAACATGATTTTAGTTTTACTTAACGGGTGATACTCGTAAAATATCTGTTCCATATATTGGACCGTCGACGAGTCCAACTCGTCCTGGTAGGTTGTAAACCTACAAGATTTTACCGAATTTCAGAAATTTCCTTACTGCTTACTGTCACAAAAAATGATGAAAAATACCCTTATTTTCTGTGACGTCCGAAATTTGACGGTTTTTGTTCAATTTCGCCATATTTTCGGACCGCCAAAATTTCGGTCGTCGCAAATTAGGCCGCCATAAATATGTCTTGTAAGGTAAAAGACGGCGGAGGTATAAGACCCAACGTATGGGTACTGACTTTTGGCCCACCCTGTATTATACCTTTTCTAATCAGTAACCGAATATCAACAGTTCAGTGTCATATTGAATTGAAGTTAAACTCGGCCGTCATGTATCCGCAGATGAGTTCGATTGAGGTGTAGCGGGGACTTTACAGCTGGCCGCCTTCAGCAGATCCTTCTTAGTGACTTCCTTCTTCGGGAAACGCCTGTTGTTTGCTCTTACCAGGAAAAGTTTCCAGAAAAGGCGAAAATTCATTCTCAAAAATTATTTTTGAGTATTTTTGGACCACATTGCACTGATATGTAGAATATAGTTTATAGTTATCTACAATGTAATTATTTTAAGCCATAATCCTGGTACCTATATATAATGGGGGCTAACCTAAACCCACGAATACAAGCCGACCATATTTACGGGTTCTGATCAACAGAAATAAATTTAGAATCGGTCACACAAAAAAAAACAGTTTTGTTCTTGGCACTATCCGTCGCGGAGCCGCCGGACTCCGAGCGGACTCCGAGCGGACTCCGGCGGAGCCGCTGGACTCCGAGCGGATTCCGGCGGTGCTCCGAGCGGATTCCGGCGGTGCTCCGCCAAAATGTATTTACACTGGACTCGAGTACATTTTGGCGGACTCCGAGCGGAGCCGAGCGGACTCCGAGCGGACTTTAAAGTCCGCCGCGGACTCCGAGCGGCTCCGAGGCGGCTCGGCGGAGTGTCCGCCGCGGACTAAGCCACTAGGCGGACTCCGGTCCGGCGGAGTGCTTGGCGGACTCCGCCGGACCTCTCCGCCAGACTTGAATCCGGCGGAGTCCGCCGGACTCCAACAGAGTCCACTGACTTCCGACCTCCGACTTCCGACCCTCGGCTAAATTTGTCACGTGACATACAACATAGCATTTTGCAATATTGTGGTCAGATGAAAAGGTCGCTAGTGATAAACCTTAACCATTACCCTCACAATGTCAATAGTGTACAACTCTAGTCCTAACTTTGACCCTATAATGTATAAACGTTGACCCTAACCCTCCACCAAACCGTCCGCAGCGAAATATCAATGTCATTGACTGGTCACGTGACCAAAACAATTTTTGTCATATTATCTCATATAGGGAAGCGTTTTTAGTTTTACCCTACACGTTGCATGTGGCGTCATTCGGCCGGATCCCAGCAAGCAAAAATACGTCGACCATCACAGACGACGCCAGCCAGCACTCTCTACGCTCTTCGAGCTCCGATCGTCCTGTGACGAAGTAAGGACGAAGCCTGAGGTCCTCAGGTAACATCGACCACCGATTGAAAATTCAAAGATTTTTTGACATAAAGGTCAAATGTAAAACTAAAATCTTGATGTTGATTGATTGACGACGTCAATTTTTGAGCACAGCGAGAGCGCATGCGGAAAAGGACCGCGTAGCTAGTCAAGATGTTGATAAATATTTGGCTTGTGGCGCGATGTGTTGCTCTAAGTATAGCCCTCTCGCTTGCAGTGGCGTGCGACCGCCGGAAATGACTTGTGGAACAAGCGCGCCCGCAGCGGCGCGAAAGCACCTGGTTAGCTAGATGAACGCGATGTGCCTTGCATTGTAGGATGAAATCCTACTAGCTGACGCCACTCGCAGCTGTGATGTTCGCTGTACGTCAGCGATCGAAATTTATACGCGTATCACCCGTTAAGATGTGCCACCCGACGCGCCACGCAATTTTTCTCGTTGCTCGTCGCACGTCGACGAACAACGAACAACGAAGCTCGTTGCGACGCGCAATGAGCTGCCAGGCTAGGACATCGTCCTGGTCCAACAAATTTTGGCGAGCGCGAGCGATTTTCTCCAAAAATTTAATGAGGGCGCCGACTTCCACTCTGGCTAGGTTTCTTTTTATAGGGGGTGCACGATAAAAATAATGTTGCTTGGATTTAAAAAAATTTTGTACCACTGTTTTCTAGAGACTGTGAGAATTTTCACAATACCAAATTTGTTATACCTTTTTGGAAAGATCAGTGAGTTTCGCCTAGGTGCCATATTTGATGGTGCGCGGCTTTTAGAGCAAAAGTAGCTGTAAAAGTCGCGTAATTTGACCAAATTCGTCCAAATTTAACCATTTTTGTCGTATTATTCGGATTTATCTTCAGTTCCTTAAATGAGATCATTCTGGAAATTGGCGACGACCTTCCAATTGGGCTTTCACAACTGTCCGAAAAATTTGGTGGATATCGGAGTTGATATAGTAATAAAAATGGGGCAAAATACGCTGCTTTTAGCTGTAACATAATGTCTGATGGTTGGATATGCTTTAAATTTTTCGGACACTTTCCTTGTAAGTTTATATATGAGTAAGCTTACCAATTTTTGTTG